AAAATAAAAAAGGTTTTTTTTGTGGGGAGGGAGGGAGGAGGACGTACCGACTGAGTCTGACATGTTGAACTATTATACTTGCCCCGCCTACCTGGTGAGGTGAGGAGGACGAGGACGAGGACGAGGACGAGGAGGGGGATAAGGAGGAGGAAGTAGGAGGAGGAGGGGGGATGAGGATAAGGATAGGCAGAGGAAGGTCGAGGGTTGTGAAAGGGTGATGGATAATCTCGAACGATCGAATGCGTTGGCAATGGGGACGTTTATTGGAGTTGGGTTGAGGATTCAAAGGGTCGGCGCATCTGTGGCTGGCTGAATTGATGGTATGGTATGGCGGCGTGGCTGGGGGTTGTTATGGTGTCGTCAACACGCACAGCAACAAGAAAGAAGAAAAGACCAACAACAGACATTGGGCCCTAGTATTATTATTCCATCTGTCTTCTGCGCCAAGTTATGGAACCAAAAAGTGTATTAAATGAGCTGTTCTCGTTTTGGTGATGCCATGTTCGTGTTTCCCCACATTGTGTTAATTGGGCATATTTGCTGGAGACGAGACACATCCCATCCATCAACAGCGGCAAACTGGACAGGTGGGTGAGTGGTTTTGCCTCGGCACGCCGGGCACGGGTCGCGCGAGCGCAAAAACGTTCCGCGAACCAAAGGGGATCCACTTCCCCACAGAGAAAACCCCTGGAAAACAAACCCGGGGAAGATCTTTCAGTGGGCTCAGGCATGTGATTGATATCCGTGCCTTACTTTGCCCAACCACAACCATACCCATTCATTTCCTTTGTTTTTATGCTTTGTGCTTCTGGAAAACGAAATGCAACCCTTGACAAAATAGTCCAACCGTGTCCCTACTTTGGGCCAGTCGATCTGTTTAGTGGTGTAGTTCGCATAACCGGTGGTGGTGTTTGGGGTTAGATGGCCCGCGGATGGTGACCGTGCCAATGATGCGAGTTCCGAAGGTGTGTCCTGTAAGTCAGAGATAGGCCAGGGGTCTATCGGTGAATCAACCTAACCCATCGCCTACCCCGGATTAAGCTGTCCATGATGTTTGACATGGCTACATGCCTTGGTATATATCTGCATGTAATCTCCGATGACAACACACATGGCATTCAGCGTTTATGTAGGACTTGACCGGCAGCATGTGAAGTGCCCAACGCGAGTCTGAGAAAGACTCCGCGTTTTGATTGCTGTGTGAGAGCTTTACAATCATGTCTTCATCACTTAGCATCCACGCAGTGAGAACCTTACATGTACATCCCATGAGTTACAATCTATCTATTTCACACCCAACACACAACAGCTAATCCCACACTCCCAACCCCTTTGCTCCTCCCCTTCCCCAAAGTTGAGAACGAAATCAAACTAAGCTGACACACAAGAAAGAAAGACTGAACGCACGTATATAACCCCCCCACCCCATCCTCCTCCACTTTCAAGTCCAGGAAAAGTCTCCTACCAACTCGTCCAGTCCTCTTCCAACAAACCCAACACAGATCTGATGCGCACCACCCTAAACCGTACACCATGTTCCCCCGCTCTGGAGAAAGCAAGGCAACCTTGAAAGCAAGCTTTTTATCGCCTCAACCCTTCCAGCCGCCAAAATCTCTTCCCTCACAGACCATGCTTTTCTCTTGCCTCTTGCCTCGTCCAACTTGCTGATATCAAATGCTGAAAATTCTCCCCAAATCATACTCAGTATGCGTACAATAACTGACAAGTAAAACTCCGCCATGGTCCTCAATACCATCCGTAAGCGGCGCTCAAAACAGCTCTCCCCCACCTCACATCAGTCTCTCCCTCTCTCTCACACCCCCTCCAGTCTCACTCAGCAACCCCCTCAGATAACTCTCCCAACCTCCTTCTCTCCCCCAGCCTGATTCTCCTCACATCACTACCCGACAATCCGCCCTCCCTCCTTGCCCTCCCTCGCAGCAGCAGCCTTCAAAGAGCAAACAGTAGGCGTGAATATGCGCGTGGTGTCAGACGTGGCATGGTTGGGATCGGTGAATACCTCCCGCCCAGCGAAGTGTTTTCACCCTGCTCCTAAGAAGGCCTCGCCTTGTTGGTTCCGGCACGCTTCCCGGTCTTCGTGGTGGTCTTGGGAGCAGGGGCGCTGCCGCTGGTCGATGTTGAAGACGGAGGCTTCAGTGTCTTGCGCCGTTTGGCGTCGCTGGGCCGAAGAGGAGGGATCGTGGTGCTTTCTTCGCCAGCTTGGTTTGTAACTGTGCCGCCGACCTTTCGGTGTGGGGGAACTACTGTATTGAAGAGCCTGGGGACGGAACCCGCGGTGGGAGTTGCCGCTGGGGGTCTCGTGCCGGGGGTGTTGTGCTGCGAGATGGGCGTCCTGGGCTGTGATGTGGGAGTCGTCATTGCGGGCCTTGCCCCCGGGACTTTTGGCACCGGAATAGGCGTTGCTGATGTTTTTGGGGGCTTCGAGGTTGAAGATCTGGACGGCAATGCAGACGCTTTGCCCTGTGCTTTAGGCCGTGAATCCGCTGCTGTCTTGGTCAAAACTGGCAACGCCTTGATCATCGTTGAAGTTGAAGGCTTGCTAGCCGAGGAGACCGTCTCTTCCCCCCTGATTGCCATGCTAGCAATCTCAGACGTCCGCCGCTTCTTCGGTCTGTGGGACTCGGGCGCTGGAATGGTACTCGGTGTATCGTCCTCCCCGCTTAGGACGATCGAATCCCCTGAAGCCGAATCTGGTATTCGAGGCCGCTTACTACGACCGGCAACCGAACCCACCGTCATCGCCTTCGATTTAGCAGCAGGCTCCTCAGAAGGGACTGTCTTTTTCAATGCCCGAGACGCTGGCGGTGGTGAGGAGATGCGCATTCTAGAAAATGCCGCGCTGGAAGGTGTATTTTCAGCATTGTAATCTGGAAGCTGGACCTCGCCCATAGCAGCGGTCGGCTGTGGGGTTCCCGAGTTTTTCAGTATTGACTTCAACGGGGTGCTGAGTCTGTTGATCAATCTCATCGGTATCGGCATACCCAACGGGGTTAAGGCAGGTGTCGTTGAAGCCTCAGCTGGTGCCGTTGAAGGCTCAGCTGGTGCCGTTGAAGGCTCAGCTGGTGTCGTTGAAGGCTCAGTGAGTGTCGTCAAAGTCACAGCTGGTGGCTCCTGCAACATCGGAGGGGGCACGCTGCTTTGATGGTAGGAAGAGCTGGCGGCAGTCTGCGAGACTGTAATGGGTGACTGTCCATACGTAGATGGCTGCGGTTGAGCACCCCCATCACCTTTGGCTGCACTTCCCCCGACGCCTCCACCGGTCTCAGTCCACGCCGGCCAACGTGGGGTTGGCGGTCCCAAGTCCTAAGCGGAGCCGACTGTTGATCCCTTGTGTTGACCAATGCTGAGTGCACCAAAGATGTTTCGCCATGAATCGACCGTTATGTGTGAAAAGCCACGCCCCTCCTCCTCCTGGTCCTTGTACCACTCCGTGGTAGGTCGAAACCGATACTTCATGTACTGTGAGCGTCGCCCATACCTGTTGCGCCAGAGGCGGGCTTCTTCAAAGAGCCTGTTGGTACACTTGGATGGGGCCCCGTCGTCCGACAAGGGCCGCCCTGTAGCGCGAGGTGGGTGGAAAATGATGCGGGCGTCTTCCTCATCCGATGTCTCAGAATCCCGGATACCCATCTCCACATCGTCCTCGTCAGTAGCTGGATCCGTGGCGAGCTTCACCCTTTTGAATCCTTTATTGGGTCTCAACATGCTGGTACGCGGCGCGGGAATAAGTTTCTTAAACTGGAACTCGGTGCCCAAGGCTTGGAGAAATAGAGCCACCACATCAATGTCGTGCGGAGATTGGCATTCTTCCGGGACCATGTAACCCCCAAGCCACACATCGGTCAACCTGGTGCCGGGATTCCTTTCCCCTGTATGCTCCCGTACATGCTTGATCAGTTGCCGCTGCATGAACGTAAGCTCGCCCTCAGTGGGCTGACGGTCTCCAAACCTCCTTGGGGCCGCAGGATCCCAGATGATAAGCTCGGCGTCTGTCCACGGTCTCTTAAACGCATCACGTGGCCGATAAAAGACGAGCCAGGGGTGTCGTTTTGGCGTGCGGTCGTCAGGCTTGTTGTCGGGGTCCCACTCGTCGGGGATGGTATAGAAGAAACCGACATAGGTATTGAACCTCGTGGTCCCATGCCTTCCTCCCCATGGAAACCCCCATTTGAACCAGCTCGAGATGGTGTTCCAGTGCAGTGTGAAATCTTCGTAATGATCGCCCATGTCGCTATCGGACCACGAAACTGGAAACCCGAACAAGATCCAGAGGCTGGAATTCCATTCGCTTGGCCCCACATCTTTCAGCATCTCAGCAAGTGAGTGCTGTGATATGCGACTAAAGCACTCGCTGGAGACCTCGTGCATTGCGAAGGCCTGATACACAGAAGCAGGGGCTGCAGCAGAGGTGGCGGCTGGTGCTATACCTGCGCTCTCAGCAACAGCGTGGGCTTGTCCGGATTGCTCGGCCTGCGTGTTGCAAACACGGTAGTGCTCCAAGGTACCCTTCAACACGTAGTCTGAGTCATTGATGGTGCGGCTGGTGTACCTTGGAACGGCGATTTCTCGCTCGCCTCTTTCAGACCGACGCGCTGTTATGGAGTCGTCTGTACCAAGAACGTAGAAGTGGCGGAACTGATCCAATCGCAGTGTTGACCAGTACCCAAACCAGTTGACGAGGCTTTGCTCGTCATTGGGGTCGATCTTGTCAATAGCATAGACCAGCGTGGCGCTCTCCTCGTTGTCACCAACAGGCGGGAGTTTTCGACGTCTCAGGTCGTCCAGCTCATAGGCCTTTGTAGCGGCAGTAAACCGGCTCTCGCAATCTTCCTTGCTTAAACCTTTCAAGTTTTCGAGAATGGCAAGATTGGCCGTGCTCTCCATCGCTGCTGGAGAGGCTAGCAGCTTGGCTCGATCATGCTCCTTCTCCTCAGCCAAGTCCCTGAGGTAGGCTGCAAAGTCCCATGCGGTAACAAGACGACATGTTGTGGATTTGGCAAAGTACATCAGAAACCAGTCAATGATTTCGAGGGCTCGAGTTGGTTCCGCTACCAGAAAGCTTGGGGTCAATAATATGGCCGCCCCTAGGGGAAACAAGCGCGTGAGCTGGAGTTGGCCTGGAGGCACCACAGAACTTTCTTCCAACAGCGAAGTTGTTGATGGATACATCGGGAGCTTGCTCATCGGCTCTGTAAAGCACCAAAACTGATCATCTCGGCTAAGTAAGAGATGTCGCAGATTCGGGAGCCTGTGCAAAGTCCACGCCATCAGCTCATGTACGATGACCACACCCGCTGTCTCTTCTGAGCTGAGCTTGTTCTGGAAGGCATACCAGCTCCCAGGATGGTCGCTTGTGAAGATACAGCAGTTGGGCTCACATGCACGGAGCCAGTGAAATAGCAAGAGACGAACTTCGACCTTTGAGTCAGGAAATGCCAGGAAGAAGTTATGTGTCGATGCGGGCTTCAAGCTGGTTGGTAGCAGCCTCTGGTAGTCAAAACCGAAGAACTTTTCCATGATCAGTTGCCGATTTGAGGACTCCTTGCCAGCGCCAGGCGGCTTGGGTGGCACATCCCGGGGTGGCGGCAGCAGGGCCAGGAGGGGCTCGTGTGGTGTAAATATGTAGTACAAGAGCTCAAATTCAGATGGATCTGACGCTGGAAGTCCCCTGAGCTGAACGGCATTCCATTCTTCACACTTTGACGGGTATATGAGAATGCTGAAGTCTGGCTGAGCACAAAGCAGTCCCATAATGCTGGCTCGTAAAGAACTCGCCACATTTTGTAGCCTTTGTTGGTCGGTATTAGAACTTAAGCCGCCAAAGGCCAAGCCAGTTTTAACCATTGAGTGCAGTGCGGTAGCTACCGACGTAGCAAGGCAACTGTGGTCAAACTCCAAGCTCTCCGTGGCTAGAAACCTTGCATACAGCTCATCACGAGTCCCATCAGGTAACCCGTTGAAAGTTGTTTGAATACATTTGGACCCAGGCTGGGGCTTGCCAAACCTAACCCGCTTTTCTGAACAGGTATTGCGTTGGGGTATGATGGTAACTGTTGGCTCAGGAGCAGACAATGTAGGAGGTGGGGTAGGAGGCCGAGCAGCGAGAGATGCTGCAGGCCGTGGAGTGGCCTCAACTTGATCTTTTTGCACAAGAGTATTATCGTCCAAGTCCATGGGATCCGGCTCACGGAATTCGATGACGCTGTTCACGTCGTCATCCCATCTCACCGACTTCCGCTTTTTCAAAGGGGGCCTTGAGATTGGTGCCGTGTGTGCTTGTGGTGATGATGGCAGGCATGCTGAAGGCGGTGGCAGGCCCGCTGAGGCTGGCGCTGGGTCAATTGTTCTTGGTGAGATTCCTGCCGACGTCGCTGTGAGGCCTGCTGAGGTTGCCGGCACTAGGCCTGTCGAGATCGGTGCAAGGCCGGTCCGACTGGAGGAAATGGGTGCTGTTATGTCTTCTGGGTCCGACTCCAGCTCCATCGAATAGTCGCCAACAAAAAGGCTGTCGTCTTCCGGTAGATCCGTCGGTTGTGCAGTTTCCTTGGACATCTTTCTCGCTGCAGCAGGCCCCTCGGTCAGGGGGAAGAGGGCTACCTTTGAAGGGTCAGGGGCAATGTCTTCCCTCGCACGGCTACGAAGTTCGGCCAATCTCCCAAGATGCATGTTGCTGAAGGGCTTGGGGTCCTTTGCGGGATTGGACATAACCTCCTCAATGACAGGCCGTGGTTTCCTTACTTTACCGCCAGTAAAGATGTTCCCCGTCTTGCTTTGGACGGTCTTTTGGGTCGACTTGCGGGCCGTTGTCTTTTGGCCCGACGGCGCTCTTTTGCTAGATGCGGCACCCTTGGAACCGAGGTTTGATTCCTTGGTCTTTGATTTTGACGGGCCGCTCATGTCGTCTTTACTTGCTTTTCTTGCAGTTCCCTCGTATCCAGTGGTCGACGGAGCTGTAGCCTGCCGTTTCTTTGTGGAAGATGATGCCAGTGGGTCGGAGGTCGCTGCAGGTTTGGCTAGTTTGCCTGGGAGGCTTGCTGGCCTATCCTTGTTTGGTTTTGACAAGGCCGAGGACTTCAGAGGCTTGGACTTTGTTGGCGATTTGGGAGCAGTGGTCTTAATAGGCCTTGCAACGCCCTTCTTATAAATCGAGGTCAAAGATGGTTTTCGTGCCTTGGGTGGCTTGGGCCGAGGGGCCGACACTTCCACAACATCGCCATCCTCACTCGCCTCATCACTACTCGAATCATCTTCTGGAATAGCACTTGACTTGGACGATGATGCTGGCAAAGGCTCGGTCAAGGGAAGACCCAGCCGGGCGCGCTTCGCATTACGAAGATTGTGCCTTTCTCTTTTCTCCCGCTCCTTTTGTTGTTGAACTGCAAAGTACCTGTCGACATCAAAAGGCTTCTCTTCGCCAGCTTCTTGCTTGGCCTTGGTCTCTGCCCACTGGGCAATCATATCATCACCAAAAATCTCTGCGGGCTCCCAAGTGCTGTCCCAGAACGGATCAAACCGGGTAGCATCCCACTGAACGAGATAGTACATGATTCCGTTTTGGTTTGGGCGTTCAGCCAGAATCGATTCGACGACATACTCCTCGTCGTCGGGGGGAGGGATTGTGGATGTCAATGAGATCGCATCATCGTCGCTCTCAGCCGGGCCGTCGTCCAGCCTCGATGGCCAACTCTCCACGAGGATATTCTTGAACATGGTGGGCAAGTGCTGTTGGACAGGCAGGGGCGGTTGGTGCTGGCATCAATGGTCGATGCCCGAAGGCTCTTGACCATGCACCACCCGGTGGAGCTAGTTCTGGCAATTTATTTGGGCCAGATATGTGCGTGGTGTGAGATGCTACACTCAAGTTAGCATTTGATGCAGACTGTAAGGTAGGTGATGGTGTTTGAAGTTCGGCTCAACTCACCAGGAGAATCGATTGATCGGACGATAGGTCGGTTCGATGTGCTGTGATATGGGATGATTTATTTCCACGCACCGTGAAACAAAGGATGCCCCACGAAGGTTTCCTTTGATTCGTTTGCTGTTCACTGAAGCAGATGTGAGCTGAAGTTGAGAAGCGACTTCAGGAGTGTGAACCAATGAGGCCTGAGGTCCCACTAAATAATTGCTAGGGGTTGGTTGCTGGGTGAAGCTGCCCCACCATCACAAGTATCACCAAACAGGCAAGAACGGCCCTTCAGTATCAACCCCGCTCTTCAATTGGATCAGGATTTGGGTATTGCCCTCAGGAGAGGCAGGAAAGGGCCATCCAAGGCAGCGGGAATTGGCAGTTTGAGGTGTTGCCTCAGCAATGGCCCGGTCATCGACACCAAGAACAGCTTCGCTCTGTCTTGCAGGGTTCTTTTGTTGAATATCATTGTAGGAGAGACCACAATAGCTCATGCCGCAGCAGTAAAGCCTCTTGGACAGCTGAATAATGTTTTTGATGGAGAAATAGCCAACGCGGATCCAATATCAAGAGACTAGAGCCTTGAGCTCTCACAGCATAGGTTGATGTGTTTGGGTCTCTGAAAAGTGGACACTGGCCTCAATTTTTGAGTTGGCTAGTGGCCGCCTCGCACCACAAAAACACCGAAAAAGCTTAATTATAACACTTGCAAGTTCTCGCTCCTTGTGATGCTGTCAGCCTTGATATTTGTCTTTGCACATCAACCATGTCGTCGGTATCTGGACGTGGGGAGAGCCGATGCTACCCTTGTAAGTTCAAGCTTCAGCACGTGACATCCCCTTTGCAGTGCATGGTTCAAGTTTGAAGACCCCGGCTTGTCCGAGTCCCGAGAGTGACAAGTGCACTGGACTCCGCTACGGATTTGACAGAGAGATGCTGTGTCTCTGAACAAAGTATTGAGAGCCGGACCTTTATTCAGGTTGTCCCGGCACTTTTCCGACAGACCCCCGGACAAACCAAAAGAACCTGGAAGGGCCAAAGATAGACGACAGCAAAGCCCGCTATCAGCCATCCTAAAACAGGCGCCGAACACCGCCACTTGTTCGTCAGCTGGGGCGCTCGACCAACTGCTGGACCGAGACCCACTGGCCTGAGCCGCACCGCCCTGCCCTCATTGACTCCTGGACGCTGCTTGCCTGGGCGTTTGAACCTGGTATTTGGCATCTGGCTGGCTTTGGCATTCCGTCTTTGTGCACTTGCATCAACGAATCCAGCTTCGACCCATCGACCGAGACAACCTCCCCGGCACATTTCAGATTTCAAGAAACCACAAGCACCCTCACCTCTCACCTCATCGCAGCCATGGCCAACGACGAGTACGATGTAAGCCTTTCTCCCCCGAACCTCGTGCCTGGGAACCCCTTGATGGACATTGCGCTGACGAGACCCTCTTTCCGGTCGATTAGTTCCTCTTCAAAGGTGCCTACCAACCTACCTTTCTACCTCTCCCGACCGCGCCCGCGCAACAACAAGACACATTCGCTGATGCTGACCTTTTGCTACAGTGGTGTTGATTGGAGACTCTGGTGTCGGAAAGTCCAACCTGCTCAGCCGGTTCACCCGCAATGAGTTCAACCTAGACTCCAAGTCGACCATCGGCGTCGAGTTCGCCACGAGATCGATCCAGGTCGACAACAAGACCATCAAGGCTCAGATTTGGGACACTGCCGGTCAGGAGCGGTATCGCGCCATCACTTCTGCCTACTACCGCGGCGCCGTCGGCGCTCTCCTCGTCTACGATATCAGCAAGAACATCACCTACGAGAACGTAACCCGGTGGCTCAAGGAGCTGCGGGATCATGCCGACAGCAACATTGTCATCATGCTGGTGGGAAACAAGAGCGATTTGCGACACCTCAGAGCTGTTCCTACAGATGATGCCAAGAACTTTGCGGGTATGTTTGCGACGCCTCCCGAGAATAATATGGGTGCCTGGGATGCGCCGGACATGGACTGACGTATGCTTTTTTTTCTCTTTCTTTTTTTGCAGCCGAGAACCACCTCTCTTTTATCGAGACTTCGGCCCTCGATGCGACCAACGTTGAGCTTGCTTTCCAAAACATCTTGACCGGTACGTCATACCTGACCTTTTTGCACAACGACATACACTGATAGTCTGGCTCCAGAGATCTACAACATCGTATCGACCAAGAGTTTCGCCGAGGAGGACGGCAAGAAGTTCGACCCAAGGGAGGGCGGCACAAACATCACGCTGAGCCAGGAAGGGCCAAAGGGGGAGTCCAAGGGTTGCTGTTAATTGTGGGCGGATATGATGATTACATGGCGTCACTTTATGTCTGATATGAACGGGGACGGGGATTCTTATGGCCATGGGGAGAGGATATGGATCTTGCTAAGCCTCCCGGGGATGCGTTCTACTAGCTTGTTTTTGTTGTCTACTGCTTTTACATACCTTTGCTGGTTGTTGGGATTTCTACAAATGGGTTTTCCGTTTTCCTTCGACCATCATTCAAGCATGGTTTTACGAGGCAGTTAGCTGATTGAACTGGGATAATACATTTTACTACTACTTACCACATTGTGATGTCTTGCGTCACCGGGTCATTGTATCAAGACATTTTCTCTGCGGCCGAGACGTAGGCCAACTTCGGACGCCCCTTTTTGCAAGGCATCACTCAAAATACTTTTTTTCGTACCCTTTCTCCATCTGTCATTTTTTTTTAGTTTCGTTTCATGTTCCAGGCACGCGCAAGGTCCAAAAGTCGGGTCTTGGCTTCTCGACCTTCACAAGCAGCGGCGGCGAGGCCCCAGTGGCCCCTTGCTCCATACGGGAGTACCCCTCGCTCACCGCCTTGCACCATGCGACGCTAAGATAAGCCTTATCTGGAGTGGGGCCGCGAATCAGTGGACGAACTTTTTTTTGTTGGCTTGCTGCAGTGCCAATTGATGCTGCAGGCGACTGGCATCAACAGGAACAATAACTTTTTTTTTTTTGACAAGAACTTTGCGACCGACGACAAACAACTCCCCACCCCGCCACCACCATCCACTTTGACGAAGGACGTTTGATACCCGAAATCGAGACGAGCAAAGAGAAAGAAACGAGGATGGCAGCTGTTTACAAATCGCTGGCCAAGACCAGCAGCAAGGCTGACAAGATGGATATCGATGAGGATTCAAAGAGCAGCGGTAACGGGGTTAGGAAAAACAAGCAGAGGGTGTTGATCCTTTCCTCCAGAGGCGTTACCCATAGGTTTGTTGCACTTTTGCGCAAAAGAAGAAGAAGAGGAGCGGGAGGGTTGGCTAACGGGGGATGAATGAATGCGTAGACACCGACATCTTCTCAACGACCTGGCGGCTATGCTCCCCCACGGAAGGAAAGACGTCAAGTTTGACTCCAAGTCAAATTTGTACCAGCTGAACGAGCTGGCGGAGCTGTACAACTGCAACAATGTCATGTTTTTTGAGGCGCGCAAGGGGAAGGATTTGTATATGTGGTTCAGCAAGGTTCCTAATGGGCCGACGATTAAGTTTCATGCTCAGAATTGTGAGTTTTGCAGACATTGGATAGTAGAGGAAGGAGAACTGACAGTATAACTTGCGCAGTGCACACAATGGAGGAACTCCACTTCCAAGGCAACTGCCTCAAGGGCTCGCGACCGATCCTCTCGTTTGACGCCACCTTTGAGACGGAACCGCACCTCCAGGTCATCAAGGAGGTGTTTACACACATGTTTGGCGTGCCCGAGGGCACGCGCAAGTCCAAGCCGTTTGTTGATCACGTCATGGGGTTCAGCGTGGCGGATGGCAAGATTTGGATTCGCAACTATGAGATTCGGGAGGTGGCCAAGACGAAGGGGGATGATGGTGACGAGGAAGAGGAGGGTGCCACCAGCAAAAAGTCAAAGAAGGGCGGGCTCGACAGCAAGGAGACGGACATCAGCTTGATTGAGATTGGCCCGAGATTTGTCCTGACGCCGATTATCATCCAGGAGGGCGCTTTTGGCGGGCCGATTATTTATGAGAACAAGAGGTTCATCTCGCCGAACCATGTGCGGGCGGAGCTGAGGAAGAGCAAGGCGAGCAGGCATGTGGCGAGGCAGGAGCAGACGAGGGATAATCTGGCGAGGAAAAGGAAGTTGGGGTTGGAGAATGGGGAGGCGTTTAAGGACAAGAGTGGGCTTGATACCCGGGAGTTGTTTGCTTAGAGGAGGGGGGTGCTTTTCTATGGGATTCTGTACACAATGGCCATATCAAAATGGTCTCAAAGATGACAAGCGACGCCCTGGTCCCTGTGGTGAGCGGGTTGGTGTTGTAATTACCGGAGTGAAAGATGGTAAAATACTGTAATTGGCAGGGGGCTGCGGTAACGGTTACACGGGAGGCGCGGTTGAGTGACGTGCCGAGAGTTAATCTTGGGAAATGATAAACATCGGTCGCCCTCCTCCCTCGAGCGTGTGGTTTCGTGTTTTTTCCCCTTTTTCTTCTTCACTTTTTAGTGTGATATTTGAAGAGGAAACACCGAAAATTGAACATTTGCATCCGAAACGGCGCGATCATGGCGTTTATTCACCTTTATTGGCCGTCAACGGCGGCTACGATGCGGAACGGTGATGTTGTCACCACCACCACCACCAGCAGCGATACTGATATTACTCTCACTTTTGATAGCCCCAAGGGAGGGGTGGTTGTGCTTTGAGGATATCTGTTTGTCTTGCACGCCTCTGTGTTTTCAGGGGGGGGGGGGGGCGGGTGTGTGTGTTTCTTTTTCCTGTTGTATATCACTTGAGAGCGAGGAGTTTCTACCGAGATCTAGATTACCACCTACACTAAAGGTCTATATAAATTGCCCAGACATCCGAAATGGTGAGTTCATCCCCAGTCAACATCTCCGGTGTGGTTGCTCACACAAGATGAAGCTCTTCTCACAAATCGTCAGTCAACCAACGCCCATGGCTGCGCCTGTTGTTGAGACGGGACAGCAACGCCTCAAAGGGAGATTAGTTCTGGACGAGCTACCTGTCGAGATTGTCGTCGAGATTGCGACCAATCTCGACTTTGAGGGGTTCGGTAGCATGTTGGGTGTCAGCAGCTTCATGAGGTGCATCTTACAGAAATATTGGAGGTATATCCTGTCTTCCATCATCGAACGGGAGTTCACGCCTGTGGGGTTGTTCTTTCGGGCATTTGAAACGGGTGAGGTAACTAGGGTTGGGAATAGGTCTGCGAGGGAGTGGTTGGGACGGTTGACGGGGGTTGGGGGTGGCCGTGATTGGAGGGATAGGGAGATGGACCGTATCATGAACTTTTGCCGGGGCGTCAAACTCTGGGAGGCGGAATTCCAACGGTTCAGATTCTACGACTGTGATGTTGGGGAAATGAGGTTGATGAATGGGAGGGAAAGGGAGCGGTTTAGGAGGGGGTTATTTATTTGGGATTGGTTTGCGAGGGTGCATCATGCTGGACGGCAGACCCGACGGACGGCGGAGCCGGTGGCGTTTATGAGGAGGTTTTCCACTACGGAACTACATGAGTTGAATGATGTCTGGGAGACGGTTTGGGCTGCGGTGGGGAGGGAGGTTTGTCCTTCTGTTACGGCGGTTATGGAGGTGATTGGGGATAGGTCGCTCGCAGAGGGGATTGGGTGGGGGGATGGGGAGGAGAATAGGCAGATTTTAGGGACGGTGATGAAATTAGGGCCGGGGGATTTGCTGAGGTTGTTGGCGGGGGGAGGGGGGAAGATTCCCCGGACGGGGGGGTTTGTTA